ATTGATTGATTGGTTTTGGTGTTCTGGGTTTCTCAAGCCTAGGTTTGAGAGATGATGATTCCAGGGCTGGACGTTATTATATAAGGATGTGATGCTACATTTTTCACCCGAGTCAAGGCTGTGTGGTGCTGTGAATGCCAGCAGCCTCCTGAGCTGTCTGCATTGCCATCCTGCTCTTCTGCTCTGCTATGCATTTGCACATGGTTTCCTGCCAACTTTTTCTTAAGAACCCACTCCCAAATCCTCTCTGCATTATGTTCCTTAGAGCACTGTTTTGCATAAGAGTATTTCTTGGAAAAGCTCAATAAGGGAAAAATAGAACAAAGGGGACTCTGATAGTTTAAGCATAAGCTATCTGAGTGTATTTGGCAAGGCAAGGCAGAGTAAAGCTCAGGGCTGGTGGGAGGGGTACGTGCCTTTAGCCAAGACCCAGGGTTTCAGCCTCTTTGGTGATGGATGAAGATCCTATAAGAACATGGCCCAAAGCCTGTGAAGTCTGGAAAGTTCTCTATGAAAGAGTGGAATAGACTCTGTACTCTTGCCACTCATGTATGCCTTAGCATGAGCTCCCATGGCCTACCTGGCCTGGGGACACTGTAATGTTCTTGCTTTCTTCCCTTTACACACAAGACTGAAAGAACTTCCCACTATTCTTCCCAGACCCTTTATTCACAGGAGTATCAGGGATAAAGGATAAAGGTTTTGAAATTTAATACTATTCATGTGATCAATAATCTGGGGAAGGTTTTCACTTGCTTCCTCTAATCCCGGAAAATTCTGAGCCTGAGGAATGCAGTTTGCAGGAAAATATGCAGGATATTTGGCTGCCGCATCTTGACATCCCCCCCCCCCTCCACTGGCCTATTCATCTGTCTGTCTGTGCATTCCTGCCTTCGTGCATGGGCTTGAACTTCTTGGGAACTGTGAGGTGAACTCCTTTGCTTTGTGAAATTGAGGGTTTAGATCTCCAGAAAGTCCCACAAGGGAGTGACATAAGGCTGGCGACTGGAGGACAATTGTTAAGGGTGTCTGGATTCTCAAGCTGTGCCTGGGGGTGCTGGACTACAAAGTACCTGCGCTCAGAGTGATGTCTCACAAGTGACCAGTAGATGGTGCTCCGACAACGGGGAAATGAGGTTTTGTCTCTGAGGCTGAGAAAGGGGTTTTCAAACTGGTTTCCAGAGTTCTGATCAGCTGATTTTTCCATTTGTGGGTCTTTAGGGAGCAGTAGAACCAGGGGGAAACATACTTATGAAATTTCCTTACAAAAATCACGATGTCAATGATCAGATCGCTCTTGATGGCTCCTTTAGCATGGTGACCTCGTCATTTAGACATGGATCAGATTCATCTTGAGGATAGGAGGCAGAACATTTCCATAGGCTTAGCATTATTATTTCTTCTCTTGATCATGTACAGTTTGCGATTCTGCAGCATGGTTATTAGAAATTGAAAATCAGATCCATTAGACGTCTACTCTCTGCCTCTTACTGGGTCTGAACCAATGCGTTCATGTTTCTGAAGCTCTGATGTTCTATGGTTTAAATCAGCATCCTAATGCATGCTTCTAGACTGACCTGGCAGCTTTGCAGGCCATCTGTAGGACTTATGTAAATTGATAACTATATCAATCACTTTATGTGATTTGATTTTTAAAACTGTATCCACCTGCTAAGTTTCAAAGCAAGGGAATAGAGAATATAAAACCAGTATAGAAATCCATAGATCTTAAAGCTCTCAAAAATGGCAACATCAAGGTTGGGGATGAAGAGGGAGGGATGTGCCTTCCTCCAGCTTCGCTGTTCTTAGACCACTCTGCCATCCTGACTAAGCTTTGCTGTTCTTAAACCAAGCCACTTTCCAAAGCTATTGATGCCATAATATTTTCCCTAATCCTCTTAGACTGCTTCTCCAAGAACTCCCATGAACTCCCCTACAGAGTCATTACTACTCCCAAGGGAACTCTCCCAGGCATTTACAAAGTTTGCCCCTTGGGAGTGCAGGAAACCTGGGTTCAGCCCCAATAGGTTTCAACACTGTTATTAATATTGTCTTATATATTCTGTGCCTCTAAAGAGGCATCAGACTGTGTATCAGTCACAAGGAACTCAGGGTTTGGTAGAAAAAGGAAACATAATCAGCACTACATCTCTGATTAGTGGGTAAAGAGAGGAATCAGGGGTCCTTAATTGTCCACAAAAACACTGTTGGAGGGTAAAAGAAAGGCTGGTGTGCCCTGCTTGACAGACAGACTCAAAGGAAGGCATGACCAGGAAGGAAGGAAAGTGAGAGGCAGTAAAGCTACACAACCTCATTTAAGTTCTGAAAGATACATCATTTATGTCATCATCCATATGGTTCATTATTGAATCCCCAATGTCTAAAATAGTGTCTGTTGTGGGGGAAATGCATGTGAAAATATTTGTTAAACGAATGATTGGTATGGCTTCTGTGCTATGCGTTATGGGTCTCTTGGAAAGCAGCTGCTTAATCCCATAAAATTTACGGTCCTGAGACAGCCACTTGTGCCTGGTTCTAGGTGACTGTCAGGTCTTCGTGGTCACCGCCCTTCAATTCTGCCTCCTATTAAACTGGTCAGTAAAGTGAGATCACAGTGACAGTTGGAGCAGACGAACACCTCCAATAACAATTTGGTCTGAAATGGGTTCCCCTGAATCCCAAAGATAACATGCTGTTTCTAAGGGTAGTGGCACTGGCAAGGAGTGCCTGTGTTGAGGCCATTATTTCTTTGAATTTCTTATACACAGGGTCTGTTCTGTCACACACACATGCACTTCTAACACTCAACTCCCTCATACAATTGGCATGTGTCGGTACTTACTCACATGGCCTTGCCCACACAGGCACACACAAGTAGGAGGATACATATACCTTACACTAAGACATCAACCCCTCTCTCAGCAGTTAATCTCAGTCCTTTCAGTCCTGTGACAACCACACTCCCTCATGACTTCCAACAACTTGGCTGTGGTCAGACTCTGCTCATGTCCTCAGCCACTCCTTGCCCTCATCTCTTCCATTACTCACTTAGGGAGAACATGGATACACTTAAGTGTTGATGCCAAAGGTGGCAAAGTGTGCTGCAGCTAGTGTAGGCAATGGGAGGTGACAGGGATAAAGTGTCTATGGGGTCTTCTGTGGGCAAGGACGAGGTATTTTTGTTTGTTTGTTTTTGTTTTCTTTTCTTTCTGAATGGAGTAGATTTGAGAAAATCAGTGGACCTTATTAGAAAGTAAAGGGTGGCGGTGGGTGGGAGAAGCCCTTTGTTGGGATTTTGAGGGAAGTTTTGCTTCCTGGACCATCTGCCAGGAAGTAAGGCACAAAGTTCTGCTAGAGTCCATCTAGAAGGCAGCCTTGTAAGGCCACTTAGGATAGATAGTTAGATAGGGCAGAAGGTCCCAGAGAAGCAGATGCCACAGGGGCCAGAGCACTTACAGGTGTTAGGTGTGGGTTTAGGGAAAGGGTGCTATCTTTGCCCTGGGGATCCCTGCTGGTGGTAGTGGAGCCTAGAGTGACTACAAGGTCCTGGCACAAGTTGTAAAAGGTCTCCACCCTCCGCTAGAACAGTAGAGAGCAGGGCACTATGCAGGGCATTGAAAGAGGCACTTGGTACACTTCTGTACCGATACCAAGGAGAGCGTTCCAGGACAGGTCCTTGATCTGTTGCAGAGATCCCGCAGGCACCACCAGCTGCAGACCGAGTCTCTTCTGCATCACTGGGGGAAAGGGGGAGGCGACCCATCCTCGGACCCTTGCTTAGGTAGCCTCTGGTCAAATGAATCTGTAAGCCAAACGAGTCTCACCACGCTGGACTCTCAGAGCCCCTCCCCCGCATCCCTCTTGGATCCTTTGGCCACCTCGCTGCGCTGCTGCGCTCTTGTGCTGCGCTCCTCATCCTGCCTGTAAGCATCATCTCTGCTCCCTGTAGCCAGGCGGCCCGGGAGGAGGGAGAACTGGTCTTTGGTGAGGAAGTTCGGTTAAGGGATAAGATCCGTGCCCTGCCGGCGCTAGCTAGGCTGACTGCAACCTGTTCCTTGCTGTGAGTGCTCGCCTGCCCGCTTGCCCGCCTGCTCTCTAGCTCGCGCTCCCGCCCTCTCCCCGGCGCAGCCGCGGATCGCTGTTGCATGCTGATCTTGGGAGGCGGTGGCGGCGAGCGCTCTGGGCGGATGCTGGCACTTGGGCTTCGCTGCTCTCTGGTTGCTGCTCAACTTCTACCCCAAACGCAGGAGCTGTGAAGTCATTTGCCCCTCTCCGGCTGGATCGACTTCTTGTCTTCATTTCTCGGGCGTTGCGGTTTACGCAGGAACCTCAGTACCGCTCTCCCCCTCTCCATCCCCCTCTCTCCAACCTTTGGATGCGTCTCTGCTGTCAGATTTAAAGAGCCAAGTCTTTGGCTGTGGAATTTCTTAGATGGACTGGTAGGGGCTGGCGTTCTAAAGCATGTCACCGTAGCTGGCCCTCCTCTTTTTTCTTTTCGTTTTTCTTTCAAAGTTCTTTTGTTTTCATTTTCTTCTTCCTCTGCCCCTCACCCCAGCCAATAAATCAGCAAACTGTTACCTAGCAGGGCTGGTGCCTGCCTTTCTCTGAACCAGGTGGTGCGTGTGCCAGAAGAGGAGCTATGTTTGAGGAGCAGCCTACTCCACCCCTCTCCGGTCCCTGAACACCAACACCCCACGCTGGCATTTGGGGGAAAATATTGCCTCTAGAAGCTGAACACCCCCAAGCCCTACCCCCTTCTTCTTCTTCTTCTTCTTCTTCTTTTTTTTTTTTTTTTTTTTCTTGAGAAATGGAGCTTCGCAGAGGTTGCCTTTAGATTCCACAGTTCAGAGCAGGGCTGAAGAGCTTGCAAGGGGTCCCCAGAGGCGGTGGTCCCCAAGCCTGTGAGGATAAGGCTCTGAGTCTGGCTGTGTCTTTTCTGCCTCTTGTGTGCGGGTGTTCGGAGATCACCTTTGTGTGTCTTCTGTCTGTTTAAACTTCAGGATGGCTCGCTTCGGGGAGGCAGTGGTCGTTGGCAGGCCGGGCTCAGGCGATGGAGACTCGGACCAGAGCAGAAACCGACAAGGAACCCCTGTACCGGCCTCGGGGCCGGCAGCTGCCTACAAGCAGTCGAAAGCGCAGAGGGCGCGGACTATGGCTTTGTACAACCCCATTCCTGTCCGGCAGAACTGTTTCACGGTCAACAGATCCCTGTTCATCTTCGGAGAAGATAACATTGTCAGGAAATATGCCAAGAAGCTCATCGATTGGCCATATCCTTTCTTGCCCACCATGGCTTCCCTCTCCCCCTTTGCATTCCATCGGGTGAGGGGGGAACCTAGCATGGAATTTATTCCCCACCCCTCCTGGTGCCCAAATTTGCCCCTTTGCTGAAGTGCACCCTACCTCGTTGCATCCAAGGGGCAAGCCTGGTACCCTGGAGACCTGTTTGGGCACTAGTGTTTTGCAAGGTAAGACTTTTGGATTTATTATTATTATTATTATTATTATTTTATTTTCCGTGTGGAAATCTCTAGTGTACCTAGGTGGCTGGTACTGAGGTGTCTGCCCCTTTCTGGGTTGGGCTTTATCTGTTTCTTGACCACCCCCAAAGCCCCAGTCATTTCAGAAGCTGCACTCCTTGTGGATTGGCTTGCCTCTAATCTCAGGGCTTTCTTTCATAATCATTTGCCTCTTTTCCTCCACTTCAGCCAGTCCCTCAGCCCCCATTCCTACCAGCTGGGAAGACACTGGCACTATCTGCTAGCAGAGAAGTTCAGGCTCTAGGATGGGATTTATCAGACCAGAGGCTCCAAAGAGCATGAGCCAAACCCATGGATGCAAATAGACAAATGAATACTTAAAAAACAGGCTTTGGACTGGGGACTCAGCTAACTCTGGAGACTAAGTTTAAGTTCAACCAAAAGTGAGTGACTGTCAGGGGAGGTGATCATGTCATCACAGCCCAAAGTTGGAGTTCTCTTCTCTGGGAAGGAGGTGTGTTCACCTTTCCTTGGCCATGGGTTGCTACTCTTGCTTCTTAATGTTTGACATATCTGGTTGCTCTTCCAGTACCCTGAACCAGACAGATCTACTGGGCCTGAATTCATCCGCTGAGGGTCAGAGGTGTGCAAACAATCTACCTCTAAAGCCAAGGGTATTGCTCTTCACAAAGAGCTGGTAGGTCATCTCTGGTGGTGGTGGTGGATTCAGGGTGAAAGGTCACAGAAGTAGCTTCTTTGCATATTTTACAAAGTGCAATAAATGCAGGCTGCTGATTAGGCACCTTACTGCCTACTCTGCTCTAAGGATTTGCATGCCTGATGAGGCCATTAGGAGTTGAGGGTGGTAGGGGTTGGCTTGGGGACAGGGACTTTGGTGCTCATGGAGGTACAATTCTTGGGAAGAATGCACCTGCAAAAGGGGTTCCTCCTCTTTACCCCATGCTGCCCCCTCCTTTCAGCAGTGAGACAGCCAAAGAAAGATGTGAGGGGGTCTCAAGTATTAGTCTGCAAGGCAGCTTGCTTCCCCCAGGGCCTGGACATATCCCCAACCACCCCCTATCTAGTTTTTGGCCTTCTTTTTTTCCTCCCCAGTTTCCTGCTTCAGGAGCTTCTGGATTGGCTGGTGCATGGTGCTTCTAGGCAGCACCTCATTAGAAATGAAGAAGCATCTCTAAGCAGTGATGCTTCCTGCTGCTGTTCACATCCTCCCACAGTCACCCCCCCTGGCTGGGTTTCTCCCTTTTTCCTCCTAGTTCTCCAGTTCTCACCTCCCCCTTCCACCCCCACACAATGATCTGGGCCATAGAATGCTTGAGTTGAACTATTTAGATGAGGGCTTGGGGCGGGGGAGGGGTCTGGTCTCTGCAGTCATGCCTGTCAGTGAGCTGCACAAAGCGGACAGATTGCATTGTGTTGCATGCTGCAAATTAACTCCTCTGAGCAGTACTCTACTGAGCTCCCAGTGAAAGTCCCCTCCCTTGCCCACCTTCTACAGTTCTTTTAGATTCCCCACCCACTAGGTGCCACTTTGCTGTGACCCTCTTAGGACCTTCCTCCTCCGAAACACCCCTCCCCCCTTCCCTTTGCTTGTAGCAGATAAAGCCTTCTCTGACACTTGCATGAGAAGTGTGGCAGCAGCCATCCTTGGCACCTCGGACAGCTCCACCAAAACTCCCTTGTGGTCCACTGTTCCCGATGCTGCACACAGGTATTTCTGGCTGGGTTCAGGCTCCCAGGCTGGGACACCAAGCACGTTTCCTACACCATGTCTTTGCCTCTGCCACGTTTTCTTTTCTGCTGCAAAGGCACAAATTTCCCACCAGGCGCTGTAAGAGCAAGGTGATGCTTACTTTTATGTTTCCCTTATTCTTCTCTTGGCCCAAATGAACTAAGCAGAGTCTAAAGTGAGACTCCGGAGGGAATGGTTTCCACCCTCATGCTCAGTGCCTTGGCCATATGTCCAGTCCCAGACATCTTTGCTATCCCCATACTTTGACATTTTACAGTGGTTCTACAGCCTCTAGGCTGTTGTAACCTGTTCAGAGTACATCTGCTCAGATGTTGAGGGGAACCTGGTTGGATTTTTTTCCCTTCTGGTTGTACAGTGTAACTGACTAATGTATTCCCTCCCTCCAGTGGTGACCACGTGGAAGCATTGCGCCTCTGTGGGCTCTGCATTTTTCTCCCAAGCTGCATCTAAGCTAGTCTCACCTTCCCTTCAGTTCTCAACATCCAGTTTCCTCAAATATCTGCTTCATCTTATTAGGAATCAACATGAAGAGCAGTTACTCTTAAAGCTCTCCAATTACACTTCCTGGGTTCAAATCCCAGCTTCCCCCAGATGCCTCATGACCTTGAAAAGTTACTTCATTACTTATGTCTTGATTTCCTTACCTGTAAAATTGGGGTGATGAAAGAGTTACTGGAAGAATTGAAGGAGCTAATGTGTCAAATGCATAGAGCATTATCTAATTACCCAATAAGCATCCATTATTATTAATGGAGTCCTTTGGGAATTTCTGCACACCTGCTAGGTGGGACTCTTAATTCCAGGCGAAGTCATTTAGATTCTTGCATCTCTGTGAACTCGAGGAGCCTCATTTGTATCACCTGAGAGCTTGTTCAAAATCCAGACTCCTGGGTCCCATTTCACAGCTGCTGAATCAGATCCCCAGGTGATTGGTGTGTCAGTAATTGACTGTGTTCCTGGTTTCAGTAGTGCTTTGTTCTTTGTAGGGGCCAGATTTTTACAACAGGAAAGTTGTTCAGAAGTGTAGTTAAGACCTGCTTTGAACTGACATACACTGCGCACTACACTTTGTGGGGTTTATCCTTTCTTTTTCTTTTCTTTCTTTCCTTCCTTTCTTTTTTTGTGTGACAGAGTCGCTGAGTAACTAAGCTGTTAAAGATCTTAAGGTGCTTTTTTTCACATGTCAGATGTTTTAATTTTATTGATCTGAAAGGATAAGCTAAGTAAACGGCATGGTTTAGTTTGTGCTTGTATGACTCCCTGACTTAGGAGGGAGCTATCTTGTCTAGGGGTTGCCTAGTTCTAATTTCAAGAAAAATGTCTACAACAACCCAGATTTGGCATGGAAGATGGTGGAAAGGCAACAGCCCACTATGAATGCATTTCCTTTTTCTTAGAAGCTACATCTGCATAGGGAGATAATTTTATTTTCTCATGACACTCTCTTCTGCAGATGATACCATAGCCTTTTTGAAAATGCTAATCTGATTTAAAATGTGGTATCACATTTTGTGGCATTCTTTTCTTTCTTGCTTGCTCATCTAGTAGAGCTAACAAGAGTGTTCTTTCTTCCCAGGCACTGGCTATTCTGAAAGCTACCCACTGCTTTCTCTGCTGAGCTCTGCCATTCTGACTGTTATTTGCCTGGGGACAGTTATCCTGGGGGTAGACACTTGGGATCTCTCACATAGTTTGTGAGACCCACCCTCATTTTCCCGGTCAGAGGTGAAGGGAAGAAATGGCTGGTCTGACTTGGAGGCTCTAATCATAGATGGGCGGTAGGAGATTTTTCCCCCCTTTCACCTATTTGGTCATCTCCGCAGGGAAGTACATGTTTTATGTGGAAATGAACATAGTTCAGAGTAAGAAGATCAAATCTGTTTGCAGCCTTTGAACTGATGAAGCTCATTATAATGAACCTGTGGCTATGCATGCATGATTTCTTGTGGATCTCCTCAGAGCACCTTGGATATGGGTCTGAGGCTATGTGTGTATATCACAGATGTCCTCATGTAAGTTGTTCAGTGAATTGTAAATTTATTTGGAGGAATTTCTTGAGGATTACAGAAAAGTGTAAAATCTCTCATTTTGGCATATATTTTTCTTTTCTTGTTGCCTCTAAATATATGTGCCTTGCAAGGTAGTAAACTGCAGGCCTGATAAGAAATTCAGGTTTGATGTAACTCCAGTGGATCATGAGTCTTGGCTCGGGAGAGATGGGGGATTAACAAGGATGAAATCTGTAATTAAATCCTATAGTCAGATGATATAGAGCTCTCATATTTTCCACTAACTTTCCATTGCATTGATGCCATGGCTGTAGTTGGCACAAGGGATGAAGATAGAGATCGTTGTTTTAGGGGTTCCTAGAATAGTCTCTTGATTGCCTGTTTGTTTTGTCTCTTTATGAGGTATTTCTGTGAATGGAAACTCTAAGAATCTAGTAGTTGTTCAGTCCACAAGGCTAAGTGTCTCATCTGGTCTTTTGTATGTGCTGGAATCTCAAAGAAGTAGGCTCTAATGCCAGTGAAGGAATGGATGTCCTGATAAGGTGAGAGCAAGCAGGTAAAGGATGAAGCAAATCTCCCTTCTTCTATTGTTTTTACATAGGCTTCCAGCAGGAGGTGTTGTCTAGATTAAAGGTGTGCTTTCCTACCTCAGGATCTGGATCAAAAACCTGTCTCCCAGCCTCAAGATCTGGATCAAAGGCATGTTGTCTGCCTGCCTCAAGATCCTGATCACTAGTGTGCCCTCCATTTCTGGATTATAGTTCATTCTAGATATAGTCAAGTTGACAACTAAGAATAGTGGGGGTTTATGGGTCTTCTAAAAGCCTGGTCAAAATGACAGTAAGGACTATTTGTAACTGGGATATAGCCTGGAAAATGAGTTGGAATGAAGAATTTGACAGGAAAGAAATTTGCCTTAAGGATGAAGGCAAAAATATCTTGGATGTGATAGTTTTGTCTATTGACTTGCATGCTATTATTCCCCCCTGGGCACTTTACTGCTATTGCCG